TTGTCTTTGATTTCTCCTTTTAAGACTTTGTTGTAGACGCAATCAAAAATTTCTGATTTAATGATTACCGGGTGATTTGTTCTTCAATTGCATTTATTTATAATTGAAAATAAAAAGGCGAAAGGTAACCTCGTAAGGTATGAAAGTGAAAATAAAAATAAATAAAAATAAAAATAAAATAAAGAATTTTAAATAAAGGAATTTTAATAAAAGAAGTTAAAAATTTCCAAAATAGAAAGTTTAAAAAGTATGCAATTAAAGAATTCCGTAGAATTTGATTATATTTTATCAAATGACTTGTGTAAATTTCCACACAACTCGCACCAAATTGTCACCAATTAATTTTGGGAGAGCGTGTTTTAATTGATGATAACAAATTTTATTAGTTTATGTGGATCAGAATGAATAGGCTAATACTAATGAATTAGATTTATTAGCGGATAATTTTGTTTTAGTGATTTGATAAAAATGATTTATTTAATTTTGCATTTAGTCGAAACTAATTATTAAGTTAATTTGTTATATACAAAGTTATTCTTCGACTACAGCGAATTCTTGTTCTTTATATGTTAGATTATATGTATCCCAATTTGAGATGATTCTCTCAGTTTGGGATGATTCTCCCAAGTTGGAATGATTCTCCCAGTCTGGGATGATTCTCCCAATCTGGGATAATTTTCATTAATTTCTACTAAATAAAGGTCTAATGTTAACATGTTACAAATTAAATCTGCGAAATGTAACACGAGTTCATAACTAATTAAAGAATATCAAATTAAAATAGATAAAATAAATAAAATAGATAAAATAAATAAATAGAAAATAAAATAAAAATAATAATATAAAATAGATAATTTCACTCCGGAATTACGGGTTTATCGATCAGTCAAATTCGCATTCCGGAAGTTCCGAATTTTTAAATTACTATTTCCAGCCCTGCTAAGAAGGCACCTTTAATATATTTTTATTTTCATAAAGAAAATAATGTTATTTCTAACGAACTCAGTATAATTTTGAACCTAAATTTAAAGATAGTTTTAAAATAATTAATAAAAAAATGTCCGAATGTACAGTAATTGATTGCATTATGTTACATATAACACATAACGATGATGATTAATTATAATTCATAAAAAAAAACTTATATATAAAGATTTATTGTTATTCTTCCTGAAAAATTTTTTATACAAAAAAAGGAAAAATGTTTTATACATTGTTTGAGTGTGTGTATTTATACATATATCGGGGAGAAAATGTCGAGGAAATGGTAAAGAAGGATTATTTCTTTTAACAATTATTGTGGTTGATATTCTTCTACGAGAATTCTTTTTTCTTAATTTTGAAAAAGTAAATTTTGATAAGAGGTCGATACCGAACAACGATTATATAGAATATAGTGGATATAAAAGTGAGCAAGGTTGAAGTCAATAAAACTTTTGTGAATTTTGAACAACACCAGTGGTCTACATAGCAATAATATTTTTACAAGGTGAACGATGATGATGGTGTTTAACGATTTGATAATAGTTGCTAAATTCGTCAGATGAAGGTGAGATGTATTTCCTGATTTGTTTGATTTCCAATATTTTTTCAATTACTTTTGCTTGCACAACTTCCACACCATCAATCTCCATAATAGTTATAGATATTATTACACGGTTAATTATCAAATTGTCGATCTTTTTTGGAATTGAACACACTGAAGAATTTATTTCAACAGTTATGAGAGCAATATCATAATTATCAAAGTAATCATCGATTTCATCTTTACTAATATCAGTTGGAATAACTTTTGCTTCAATCACCTGCAATTAAAAAAATTTTCTTAATGAATATATTTTTTTGTAATTATGTGAATAATAATTGAAGCAAAAATTACCTGAACAGAAGTTTTTCCTAATTTTAACGAGACATCATCATTTATTATTAATTTATTATTCTCTACTTTTAAATTCACTACAACGACAGAAGTACTTATATTCACATCATCATATGATATTTTAACAGGAACTATTAATCTTTTGTTTGTATTAAATATCGTTGAAATTATTTCTTTGGAATCAACTGATGGCAGTATGAATGATGGACTATCTTTAACCGGAACGGATTTTGCTAAGGCTGTTATTTAGAAAGAAAAGTATCCGTTAGATTATAATTTATATAAAAGGTTGAAATTTAATCAGTAATAGATAATTAACTACCAATCATAAAGGTGAAAGCGAACATTAAAAATAATCTTGATGAAACCATTTTTTATATAATAAAGAACGATTTAGAAAATTTCATATGTACAGTTTATATTCTATTTAATTAGATGATGGGAATTCAGAAATTTATATAAATATTTAAAAAATTTATTTAAAAAATAATAAATAATTCAAATTTAAAAATATTATTATTATATATATGCGAGCAAAAATCTTGATTGAATTGTTTATTGAGTAACCGTGCTGAAGAAGGAAAACAAAACCTAATTTAATCTTGCGCCGAGCATATTTTTAATTAAATTATTATTTTTTATATATACATATCAGATCGGCAAGGCTAAGATAACATGGGAAATTTTTTTTTTATAAAATTTCGGGCACAATTTACTAACCAAAAGAAATTTAATTAATATTTTATATATAAAATTATCTAGATTTTCTATGTTGTTGTTAGTTTTTTTCTAAATAA